AGGTAAATGCTACTCTAGACCCCTAAAAACAAAGCTTTGTTTCTCAAGAATGACAGTGCCTATTTTAGTTCACTGTACAGACTGGTGTATTTCTTACTGAGAAAGTGTTATGCTTGTCAGTCACAGATAAGACTATTTTGAAGTGATTAAAAAACAAAGAATGACGAAGCTTGATGGCACTAGAATCAACATGTATTTGGGAATTTGCAGTCATAGTGCCAGAGACGTGAACTCTTAGGAAGCTCTGAGACCAGAGGGTCATACTAGATGATCTGGTCATCTGAGAAACCTCTCGTGACTAAATTCTGATGTAAGTAACATTTTTAAAGGAAAAGTGGATTCACTATGTTTCTAATAAAAGCATGAAATCAACTATGGAGGTTAAAAGAGCAAGCACTAAGCTCTTCTGCAAAATAATGAGACAACTATCACTTATGACAAAGATGCAAGTGAATACTCATTTTTTTGTGTGTTGCCACTGATCTGCAGTACTTCTCTCCCTTTTGTCCCAGGGAAAGGATTTCCTATCTCATACAGTTACTTTAATAAATGGCAAGGGCTGTCTTGGGGTCAAGAAGTAGAAGCAGGGACTTCCTGTGGACTTGTAAGAATCTCTAAATTTTCCATAGCTTCTTTTTTCTTCCTTGTTTTTTTTTAAATATCTTTTTAAAATTCTTGTAATAATTTCTCAACATTTCTCTCTGAGAAACTATTGGGTCCAATCAGAATTAAACACAGCATTTGCTTAGTTTTAAAGGTCATTCAGTAGTCATACACCAAAATCTCTTTAAAGGTGAGGCAGATCTTTCAAACAGATCTGAAATGCATTTCCTCAGATGACATTTGGCAAGAAATCCTGTGCAAAAATTAATACCAGGCACACCAGTTTAATTTCTTACAGGTCACTGGTTATTTCATACTCATGAGGAACTATATTGTAAACGTTCCTAAAACTGAAAACACAAGTAAGGAAACACTTTATAGAATACTATTAAATATGTTTCGTGTGTAAAAAAATACAGAAACATGTAATGCTCTTTATTCTTACTTCTAAACAGGATTAATTTCAGATTTGATCACTCTGCTGCTTCTCAGGCTCACTGATAAATAGTTGCAGCATAATTCTCTTAAAAGAATCCTGAGAGTGGCAAGCACATTGCTACGAACTATAAGAATAAGAGACAAATCTTTTGTATGTATGTGGCTCATTTAATAAGACACGCAGACCAGGTATACACTCACCATTCTGCAGAAATCCACCTCAAAAAAGAAGATAGCAGTTGTATCAATGCTTGTTCAAATACAAGACAGTTAACTGCCTGTTTTCTTAAGATAATGCTTGACATGTGCTCCAAGCAAATTCCTTGCTGCTGCATTAGAAAAGGACCTTTATTTTCGATTATTGATGAAATTTAGCTGTTTCATAACAGTTAATAGCCAGAGATGAATATTAGAAACTAAAAGCCTAATATATAGAGAATACAGAAAAGCAGACTCTGATTCTCTCTTCATAATTGCTAAATATTATATGTGTATATATATACTACGTGTGCATGTATATACATATACTGGATAATGACAAGCCACCACAAAGCAGCTGTCAGCTAAGACCAAATATGTGCTTAGCTTTCTGTGGAGTAAATAGTTCCCCTTCCTCCAAGAGGAACTTAAATTGAATAAAGGTAAGCAAGCATTAAAGACCTTGCAAGATTAGAATTTTAACAATAAAAACAATTTACATGAAAAAAAATTAAAAGAGGAAATAACTTAGCACATTTGTATGATAATTAAAGTAGTATTAGTGAAGTAACACTAACAGATTGCAGAGTTAAAGTAGTAAGATACATCTACCATGCATATTTAGTTATTCATAAAGTATCAAGAACAGTGTAATCTGTATTTTTTTTTCTAGTGAAGGATATTTTTGCCTTAGTATCACTAAAGATTGTGAATTTTAGAGTTCCTATATTCCAAATCTGAATATTTAAGCAGTTGTTTGATTTTTGCCCAGAGAACAATTTCTTTTAGACTTACAACAAGTAGAGGATAACTTTAAGTCTCCATAGGTACAAAGATTCAATAATGAGAAAAACATTGACTACCTTGTCACAAAAGACAACAACATTGTGTTTGTGTGAAATTATGTATCGTTGGCTGAGCTAGTACTCATATTCTAATATTAATATTTCTCATGAATTTACCCATGCAAATCTGCACAGCAGTTATGGAATCCTTCCTTTAGCTCAATTTCTTTTTGGAAAATTCATAATGTTTTTCAGTTATTGAGTATTTCAAGCATACAAGATTGAGGGAGAAGCAAAATCCTTTTGATGTCTATTAGTTTTAAATTCAGCAAGTAACGATAACTTTCATCTATTAGCATTTAAAGTATGGCAGAAGCATAGCCCCAAAACGAAAAGAAAAAAAGAACTCCTTCAAAATAGCAACCTTCAGAATGATGGCTTTAATTTAAAAAACTTTATTTTGTATACTTGACAGCAGCAAGCAGTAGTTGGCAACAACAGTGGAAGTAGCACTGTAGGAATCGCCTTTTACTTTCCACTCAATCCATATTTTGAGCTTTAAATAGCTAAAGTATCTCCATTAAATGTATTCTGAAATATTGTCAAGGACAAGCAATCCATTCTTAGTTGTTTTGTTCAGAGAATCTCGAGCTTGTGCTCTGCTTAGCTTTGACTGAAGGCATCAGCTGCATCTCCCCTGGCTAAAATCTAGGTTTATTGCCCAGATCTTAGCCTTTGTGGACGTCTTCAGCTGGCTCTAGAAAAGCAATTCAAATGTATTGTTTTCAGGAACAACATTAAAAGTATTTGCATCAGTACATTGGTAAAATCCAGGACTACAGCTGACAAGGCATTAAAATGTTACTGAAGAATAAAACATGTTGCCATGCAATTGCTTCCTAACTACAGATTTAGTCCCTGAAGAAACTTGGCAGATTTTGCCTAGCACTGAAAGAGTGCCTCAGTTAGAGTACTCCTTTTCTTCTTCAGAAACCATGGAAGTTTCTTAAGGGAGTAAATGAAAACTAACTTTCTAAAATTCTGGTAAAAAGAGAAATAATAAAAAGCAATTTCAATCAAATAATACAAATAAGACTAACCTGCAAGATTTTCTGTATACAAATTCTCTGCCTTTGATATTGATATTTTGCAATAAACATGGAGTCACTATTTTTTGTTCTCTTAAGGATACTTGTTGCTTTTCAATCTACCTTTGCTGTTCATAGTAATTCCTATGGTCACCTTTACTCTCAATAGACTTCAGTTTAAGAGAACTTGTAAAGTATCAACAGCTGTGTTTTCTTAGGCWAATGAAGAATTATATTCCTGATCGAGGCCAATACCAAATGCTCACAGTAAAGCACAAAAAAATCTGCCATTAGTTACACAGATGCAAAGATAACTTTCCATGCAAAGTCCCACTAAAGTAGAAAGTATGAAAATTTACTCTGCTTTTTTAATTCTTATAAAAAGTTATTTATTCCTATGCCTTGTTCTGCTGAATTTGTATGGTATTTTTAAAAGCAAGAAACCTATTTGGTTTCCTGCTTATTAGCAAACAGCTTGAGTTAAAAAATTAAAATGAAAATGCTTTGATGTTTTGCAAAAATGTAAGAAGACTATTTAATAAATACACTAAATGATAATTCATGTTCTTGCACTTGTCAAGAGTTGACAACATCATCTCAGCTATTCAGTTTCCCTCCTGAAAGTACATGCCTAGTTCTCTGTGGAAAAAGAGAGAAAGTTTGTTTTCTCACTGTCATCTTTTACTAATTTACCCAACTCCACATTGGGCTGTGCAGATCTGTGATAGATTGAACCCTCTTCCTACTACCAAACATTATCTAATCAGGGGAATATGTGTGAGGTTGTGAGACACCTAAAATACATTGCAACAGCTTCAAAGAAGCTGAGTTGCACATTATTACATCCAAATTCAGACCACAAATAAGAAAAATGTACAAATACCTGAAGGGAGAATGTAAGGAGGAAGGGGCCAAATTCTTTTCAGTGGTGGCTAGTGATAGGACAAGGGGTAACGAGTACAAGTTGAAACACAGGAAGCTCCATCTGCATGTGAGCAGGAACTTCTTTCCTGTGAGGGTGACAGAGCCCTGGTACCGGCTGCCCAAGGAGGCTGTGGAATCTTCTCTGGAGATCTTCCAAACCCACCTGGCCACCACCCTGTGCCACATGCTCTAGGTGTCCCTGCTGGAGGAGGGGAGTTGGACTAGATGATCTCTAGAGGTCCCTTCCAACCTCAACCATTCTGTGATTATGTGAAAACCAAAGGGTTTTTTTACAAATAATTGTAAATTATTATTAAAATCTCTACTATTAATCAGACAGCTACTACTGTCCACCATTTTCACCCACTCATTTAGGGGAAGACATTTAGGGGAAGTGACATGTCTTTTGAATAAATGAATGCAGGTACTTAAACAGTGTGTCAGACTAGTACTGTAGTTGAGAATAAGTTGTGTCTTCACAATCATGTTTATGTATCTTCTCAATTAGAAAAAAGGTTAACAGAAGCCCCGCCCCTTTATTTCATTTTTCAAAGTACGCAGGAACCTTTCCAGCAGTGCTTAGCTTTTGTAATTACAGGAACACATGGAAAAAGCTGCTGCTTCTCCCCTGGGCAGTAGCACTCGTCAGCAATCCACCTGGATTCCTTTTCTGCTAAGTTCAGGTTTAAGAAAAAAAAAAAAACACCACCCTGCAGTTTGGTACAATGCACAATTATTTTTCCAGAGTCAACAGACTGAGCATAAAGCCTGCCAGGACAACTTTCCTTTTCTTGTTCAGCAAACATGAATCAGCCGTTGCTTACTTTTTGCCTTATCATACAACAACCTGTTAGTGTCAATATGTTCTCATTTTGCAAAATAAGAGCAAACTGCAGACATTTCAAGTTTCACATGTTTATTAAACCTCAACTTTTAAACACATGATCAAGTGCAGTGTGAGGCAAACTTAATTATTTCCTGGATGATTAAGCATGGTAATTGTGCGGACGGCTTCCGGAAGACCTTTCTGTGCAGCTTATGGAGAAAAGAATGTTGTTCAGAAGTCAGGGCGGTCCTTTTTCAGTTTACTGTAATCTACATTAACCGAGTAGAACTGGTAAAGAGAGGGAAAAAAAATGATCACAATAAGAAATTTGAGTACAGAATTTCTATTGCATTTACTTAAAAACAAACAAAAACAAAAAACAAAAAACATGCATCACTAAAATTCATATCAGAAACAAATGGCAGTTTGGAGTCTGCGCACCAGAGCATAATAAATACTTCAACCTTTCCACCCTCCCCAAAAAATCCTTTAAAGATCAGTAACTTTTTAGAGTATCTCCATTGTGTATGTGGGTCTAGATCTGCTGAAACTAAATATTAACCAGTTCTGGTGCTCACAACTGGAGAAAACAAACAACCAAACCCAAGGAATCTTTTTTTTTTTTTTTTTTTTTTCACAAAATTAGAAGTCCATACATAAGGGGTTTTTATTACATTGCTACGATTATAGTTTTTGCCTCATGCTCCTATGTGTGGAAAGCAATAGAGCACATCCAGGTTGCCAAGTGGGGCAAGGATGGGAAATACGAATAGGGAGTGCCACAAGGGAAACATTTAGAGTCGAGCTGTTGAAGTCAAGCTTGGCTTAATAGATGAATCTAGAACAGTATCACTGCAGTATATGATAAGAGGAGAAAAGGGCAAGAATTTCCACATGCTCAGATAGTATTGACCCAGTAGAAGACCAAACAACTTGTAATGATCCAAGTAATTACTCAGGACAGGGAATTTACAGATTAAAAGCATTGTTTTTGACAGTCTAGTCTGACTTGACTTCATGAAAGTGTTTTTACTCAAAAAAGAGAAAGAACAAACACATACATACACACAACAACAAAATACCACATAGCAACTAAACAGCAACAATTGCTACAGGTATTAAAGGTATTAAAATAATTGATATAACACTGCAGATGAGCCCTTCAGGGCCCTTCAACTGTTCGTGATCAAGTCTGAATAAGCAACTCAACTATTCAACATTAAAGTACACCCAAAACTAAGAAATAACTTTTCAATCACCAAGTACTGTGTTTATTATAGCTTAATATAGTTCTGCTTTTACTCCATTTTCAAAAGGTCAGCATTTTCACAAAGTGGAACTGAGGAAGACTTCAGGCCAGTGTCCATTCCACTGATACTAGAATGGTGAGTATAATCCTTGTAGATTCAGACTGTTTGAGCAAAATGCAATGCAAAGTGCAAAATGCAACTATGCAATTCAGGTGACAAAGAGGCACTATTCAATCCAGTAAAATCTAAATAAAAAAGCTTTTGATTGCTTTTATCTTATTTACAAACAAAGCCAGAATTGCAGCTCTTGATTCATAAAGAATATTTTCCCCATAATTTGATTATTTTTATTCAAGGTCAAACTTCAAAATTTTGTAACTACTTCATAAACAAAATCGCAGCCCACAACTGGAAATGGTGTTAAGATTGCACAAGCACTGTCATTTTCATTACAACTTTTTATGCAACTTCTACGCAATCATCAGGTCTTAACTCTTGTCTTTGGGATACTGACTTCTTCAGCCTTTCCCAAGAAAGGAATGAAATTGTTTTGCTTCAAAAGTAAAACAATTTAATCTAAAGCTACAACTTGTTATATCAGGACTTTTTACTAAGCAGTTATCCTCAATTTAAAACTTCTGCTGTGGGAATCAGAAAGGCACAGCCTTAGAAATGGCACGCACACCCAAATATGGTAAACCTGGAGGTTGTTTTCGCATGCTAAGACCCAGCAGGAATGCTACAGAAGGCACRCAGGCTTTCAGAAAATCCATGCTGCAGTTTTTTTGATTGTGCTTCTTTTAGATATTTAAGGAATAGTTTGCAATGTTTTGGAGGCAGTAATGAAAATAAAGTATTAAATTCTTGAACTTTTGGGGTGTTTTGGATAGGGTATTTTATTTTGGGGATTGTTTGTTTTTTAAGCAGGGAACAGAAATTGGCAAACCATATTTGCTCTGTTCTTAAACTATTCCTAGCCTGGAATCCTAGAAGCCTGGAATATATTAGTTATAATGTATATAACTATATACATATATACACATAAAAATGTGTTTATGGTTTTAGTTTACRGTTTTAGTAAAGTATGTGATAAAAACCTTATATTCATGAACTATGAGATGTAGTCTGAATTTTTCTTATTAGCGCAACAAAATAACAAAAATCAGTATCTTTTATATTATCAGTTTCCTAAAAAAATTGTATTTTGCATTTTACCTTATATTGGTCATTGGGGGCCAACTTGTTCCAAGGTTCTGGATTATTTTTTTTGTCCCAACTATTGAGAGAAACACAAGACAGAACAACCTATTAAGAGAATCACCATGCATCCTCCATAAGAAAGAAATATATTTATATGGACATTGAGATTATTAGATATTGAACAGTTAGTTATCCATGCAAATAAATTTCCATAGCGAAGGACAAATCCCTTTGTTAGCCGCCTATAAAAATCACATACTAAATAAACAAATCTCCTAATCAGGGGAATCTCCAGGCACTCAATGTCAATGATGATGAAACAAGATATTGAGGCTCCCGAAAGCTTAAAAACCAAGACAGAGAAGTGTATTTTACTGGGTCCAGCAAGAAGACTGGGCACTACATTACATTATACGTACCAGACCTCCGGGTTGAACATTGCCAAGCGCATGACGTACAGGGCTGCGCCAACACCTCCAGATCCAATGATCAAAAACAGAGGAATCAACTACAGAAAAAGACACACTGAGCAGCACACAGTGGTAACATACACAAGAATACTATTTTGTGTATATATTTTCACTAACGGCAAGCGAAGGCACGGGGCTCCCCATTCTGGGTGATGCACTGTGTGTTATACACATCCCCCTAAGCCCCAAACACAGGCTCCAGGTGTGCGGGACACAGAGGCTGGGCCCCCCTCAGGAGAGCAGACACGACAGGCGCGCTGTGAGATGCAGGCGCTCCTGGACGTCCCCGCTACGTTTCGAGCCACAAGGAGCAGCTTCCCGCGGAACCGCAGAGCGGCCCCGGCCGCCTGTACCAGAGGGCGGACACGGCCGGGCAGGGGAGGCCCCCGGGGCGCCGCCGCAGCGCAGGGCGGCCGCGTTGCTACTCACGCTCGGGTGCTTCTTGGCGTGGCTGACCATGACGCGGAACATGGTGGCGGCGGGGGGCGAACGCGGCGCTCTCGCTCCGTCCCTGCCTGCGCGGCGCCCTCCTCGCCCCTCGGCTGCCGAGGCCCAATGTCACGCGAGGCCCCCGACGCGGCAGGTGCCGCCGCGCAGCCCGGATGTAGCGGCTGCGGCGTTCGCCTGCTCGCCCTCTGCCGCCGCGTGGCGCCTTGAGGACCCGCCGCGCAGCCCCGAGGCCGGCGCTGGAGCCGCCACGGAGGCGCTGAGGGCCGCGGGTCTCCGCCGAGCCCTCCCACCGCGCCGGGCGGCTCCATCGCACGGAACAGGCGGCACCAGGGCACCCCGCGCGGGCGCCGAGTAGGCGCCAACGCTTGGCCGGGGCACCCGCGCTGCCCGCCGCGCATGCGCACCGGCACGCGCGGCGGAGGGGGCAGCGCGCGGCAGCCGTTAGGGCGCGAGGCGCYGCCAACGGCCGCAGCGGGCGGGAAGGGGGGGGTTCTTCGGTACCGAGCTGCGGCTGGCGCGGCCTCCTGCGAGGGTCSCTTGGTACTGGGCCCCGCACGGCGTGGCCTCTTGTGAGGGTTCCTCGATGTCGGCACCGGGGCAAACAGTGAGAGGGGGTTGGCTGTCGGTGAGGAAGCTTCGCTTTTGGTGTGTAGGAAAAGAACCTTGGCATAAAAGTGCCAGGCCAGTCACCCAGCACGAGTTACTCCTCTGGGCAGCAATGCACCAGTGTTAAGTGCATTGTGCTAAGAAATGGTTTGGTACAAAATGTGGTTATCTGAAGTTAGTAAAGAAGTTACAGTTTTAYGTGTACATATTTATATATATTTCTATATACAACTACATAGTTGGGTAGAAATGCTTGGTAACAAACTTATCTTTCCCCACKTACCTCTGATGTGCTTCTTGCTTTAGACTAAGGAAAAGGTTATCCTTGAGTGAGATATTTTATGTTCTGTACACTGTCATTAGAAAATTGATTTTTATGTAGCAATCGCATCAGTACCAGTATGCTACCAAGCCAAGACAAAGAGGGTGCCTTTTGGGTTAAAAGCAGAATAGATTGGTCTTCCAATCATTGCTAATGGTTTGTGTGGATGTACATCAAAGTTAAAAAGTTGACATAGCTAGGTAAAGAGAATAAGAGTATTTAAACAAAGAGCTGTCATTTATTTCACTTACTGGTTCTACGKTTTGACTTCTGCATCTTTTCAAGACTTGCTTTTATCGCAACAAACTCAAAAATCATATGGATCCCTATTTGTAATCCCTTAATCCAGTCTTACTCTGTTTGCTAGACCAGTTTCATTTGACTAACAGATAACCATGGCAAGATGAAAATGTTGACAATGAGTCCTGCTGAGGAACTCTGTCATTGCAGGGTAGCTGCAAATTGCAGCTCAACCTTGTGCTGAGCAAAACAATTTTAAGAGTGTTTCGTTTGGAGCAATGCAGGCATGTTACTCGTTTGCTTTGGTTTCAGAATTGAGAAATAGAAAGCAACATAGTTGGTTGTACTCCAAGATTTCGTTAACCAGATAAGTAGACATTATAAAATTTGGACAGATTTTTCCCTTTTTTTATTCTATTTTCTCAAGTGAAAAGGGCCTTTTTTTTTTTYTTYYWWTTTTTTTTTTCTACCAAGTTAAAAGTACTGGAAGTAATAATGTCGCTGCTATTTCTTCTACAGAGAAAATAAATATATGAAACCTACAAGGAGGTTTCTATGCCTAGAAGACACTGCTCACTCTTTATTGTAGAAGTTGAGCTTTTCATGATGTATGTGCACCATGAAAATTAGCTGTTGCCTCAGCAGGTTCAGCATAACAGTACGTTTGAGAAGCCAAAGGGTAGATGGATATTCGCTAGCCTTCGTGAAACAGCTAAGAGCAGGTTGCTTCAGATTAAAGCAGTCTTCTACATAACTTATATAAGGCTGAGTGGCACAATTTCAAACGCTTTCAGTAGCCCATGTRTTTCTACACCTTTGAAGTTTGGGAAACATTTTTACTAGGGGTGCCCTGGTCACCTGCTTTTGGGAAATATGCATATTTTTAATATACCTTCCAGATTTTTTTTTTTACACTGATACGTGCTTTCTGCTTTTTTTTTTTTTTTTTCATGGCTTTTTGAATTCTAATAGAGGCATAATACCTGCTCAGTTTGCAAGATGTGCTATGCACTTTATGGGATTTCATAACTTTTTAAGCATTGTGTCCATCAGCTTTTAGTGCCTGTACGGCTCAGCATGGCTGGTTCATTGTCCATACACATGGTTTGTTATTTGTGTTTCTTGGACTTTTTTATATGGTGTTAAATTTTACAAATGGAAAAAAAAAAGGAAAATATGAATATGAGCAGTAAAACAAATTTTTATTATAATCTTAATAATGGTGGCATAATGTCGTTAACATACAATCAGTGCAAGCATTGCGTAGAATGTAATCTCTCATACGCTTTGCAGGTGAAATTCTGACTATAAAATCAATCAGCTACATGGGACATGCTATTTTGGTGATGGGTCTGTGGTTCCTAGAAATACTTACTTAATTTATAGCATTTCCTAATTAGTTTATAGTAATGTTGTCATTATATTGCTCTTCCTTGAAGACTAATAATTTTCTATTACATCTCAACTCTACATTTCCTTACAGAAAATAAGTGCTAAATAAAGATACTGAATTTTAGTACCATTTTAACTATCACATAGCTACTCAATCTGGAAGTAAACRCACTTATTTCTTTTTAAATTTTTATGTCATCGTGTTCTGCCTATCAATTAAATTTATGAAGCTTTAGTTGGACYAGTCACTCTTATAGTCTGAGTAAAGTTGTTTTTGTGTAGGTTTGTGCTTTTTAAATAAGTGAATCCGTAAATCCTTCATCTCTTTTGGAAARGCTTTGTGATGAACCAGGCCTTTAAGAACTAACAGGCTAGATTTGGAGTAATGCTCAGCAAGTCCTTAGGTTATCCCATTGTTTTGTCTTTTTTTTTTCCCCTCTTTTATTTTGTTCTGCTGTATAGCCTTACCTCATGCTTTCTGCCTCTCACTTTGATTACTTTATCTTGTTATTATCCTTAGACCCGTTTGAGCTTTTGGTTTCAGAAGCTTTTCCACAGGCTATCTCCTTTTCTGCAGCCTTCCTGTTTATACAGCCTTTCTTTCCTAATTTTTCCACTGCTATTATGAATCATCTATCCACAGATTTCTACTCTTTTCAACAGCATTTAAATTGTGCTTTTTTTTAATATATACTAAAACTAGTATATTTCAGTCTCAGATATAAACTTGCCTGATCTCCTGAAGAATAAGAATATGAAGTCCTAATAAAATCAGAGGTTATTTGAAAATTTGCATTCTTTAGACTTAACAGTGGATGTAAATAATCAAGAAAAACATTTTTAATCACTTTTGAAGTTATCATGTATTTTAATTGGAAGAATATAGAAGGGAAAGACAGATGTGGAGATGTTCAGTTGCTCATGGATCAAGCAACTAAAATCACTGTGAATTGTCCTGTATCAAGGACAATTTCTTTGCTATCCAGAAAATGTATTAATTGAGGATTAGACATACAAGTCTGGGTAAAAAATGCAGAGTCCTATAATGTGTTTCTAACACAAAGATTCCAGCAGAACCAAAATGATTTTAAAACTTTGAAATAGCATTTAATTCATACTCTGACTTATGTGGAACAAATACTTATATTTAAAAGGACTTTCTTGGTTTGTGATTTTTCTTTTTTAATTTCTTGTTTCCATTGGCATGTACAGTCCCTGCTGTAGGTCCCTCAACTCCTTTCTGTGCCCTGAGCTGGGGCAGCAGCAGAGCAGGGTACATATTAAAACCCTGCTGTTCCCRTTTGGAGTGGTCTGGGTCAAGATCTCTTGGAGGGTGATTTGCATTTGGTTCTAACTCTGGGAACTGAAGGTTCAGTTCTGTACTTGCATTCCTGCTCCAAGAGATGAATGCATGGTAAACTTGGGATAAAATCTTTATCATCACAGTTATTCAGAAAAAGTGCAGAAATGCCAATATTTTACAGTTAAATAAAATGATACCTTTAAATGCAACAACGTTGTGTATAAAATTTAAGAGGAAACCATGAAGATAGGAAAACTATTAATGTAATATACCATGAAGATAGGAAAACTATTAATGTAATATTTTAATACTAATAAAACGCAAAGTTGACGACGATAACAAAAAGCTAAAAACAAACAATGCTCACATAGACATAGTGCATAAACATTGAGCCTATTTCTTTTCTGCACTATGTCTGCCTGAAGTATAGAATGATCAAGGTTTTTATACGGAACTTGCCAGATTTTTCCCTGAGTATGCCCTGGAACAGGCAGCCCAGAGAGGTTGTGGAATCTCCTTTCCTGGAGATCTTCCAAACTCACCTGGATGCCACCCTGTGTCGTGTGCTCTAGGTTTCCTTGCTGGAGCAGGGGGCTTGGACTAGATGATCTGTAGAGGTCCCTTCCAACCTCAACCATTCTGTGATTCTGTACATATGTTTTTTACAATATCCAAATTTATTAGCAGCCAGTAATACTGGTCAAATTGCATTAAAAATGTCAAGGAAAATTATTTATCCATACAAAGTATAAAATGATGTATAAAAAGAAAAGTCCTTAAAGGGCATTTCCTGCATGAAAACAAYCCTATCCATTACTTGCAGGGAAAACCTATTAAAATATATATTTCACAGGGAGCAGATGGCTATCTTAGATGTTCGTAATGGAATATTGAGCTGTTTTACCTGTCAGTTAAAAGATTAAAATCTGCCTCATTTCAGTATAAAAGTAAGTTGTCTTTTTTATTTTTCTTCCCCCTGGTCAGAGTTTTTTGGAGCAGTGTAGGCTGACATGGGAAATAATCTCAGATAACAGGTTGCATAGAAGCAAGTAAGTTAAAGTAAAAATACAGATAGGGTTCTCAGCAAGAAAAAATATATACACATGCACACACATATATATATATATAAAGCCTAATAAAGAGATAATTATTATCTATAGTTTGTAACATATAGTATATAATACATAGTATATTGTA